CATACATACATACATACATACATACACATTTATTTATATATTTTTATATATATATATACAAGACTGCATTGGCGCTTCACGCCAATGCAGTCTTGTTCCGGGCGCTTCCCTGGCAAAGCAATAAATCATCGCTTGCTTCAGCTGGGAGGACCTCGAGGCCTGGACGGGCGACCCGCCCATTTTTCCGATATCCCTGGTGCCTGCTTACACCGCGTTCGGACGATGCGCTTGCACTCTTGTGCGCAGGAATGGAGAAATGATTATGTTTTTTTCACGCGCGATGGTCTTTAAGGAAGTAAGGAGCGTTCCCATGACACGCCGAAACAGTCACAGTAGCTCCGAACACATCGATTTCTGGTCGCTTCCTGAATGCCTGGAGGGCCCCAGGCTCTCAGGAAATCTTCGATCGTCGAATGTCGAATCTAAATATATTGCCTGCCTCTCTCGATCGGGGAACTATTGAAACCTCGTGCCTCAAGCGTGGAACCAAGAACGTCGGGCCAGCTTTATGTATTTCGTAGGAGAACGCCGTCTGGTCGTTTTTGGAACTTTTTTGGGCCGTCCTGGGGCACTCATGGGCCGTCCTGGGGGCTTCTTGGGCCGTCTTGGGGAGCTGGGGCCCTCCAGATGTTTTCTGAATTCATCTAGGGCCTTTTTGCGGGCCTCCAGTGGCCTTCTTGGAGATATCCCATGGCTTTCGTGGGTCTCTCTTGGGAGCCCTCTGGGGGCATCTTGGGCTTCTTGTGGGCAGGTTCGGGGCTCTCTGGGGCAGTCTTGGGGCCCTCTTGGGCCGTCTTCAAACCTTCTAGGAGGCCTCTTAGGCCGTCCTGGGGCGAGATCGGGGGCCCATTGGGCCGTCGTGGACGCTGCGAAGACCCAAATAGCGGATATACAAAACATGTTTTCTTGAGGGGATGTTACGATTTCAACTTCTTCGAAACTCTCTTAACTGCCTCTTGGGGTGCCTTGGGGGCCTCTTAAGCCGTCTTCAAACTATCGAGGTTCCTCTTGGAGCGCTCTTGTGCTGTCTTGAGTCTTTCTTGTGTCTCTCCGACGACCCCTCTGATCGCCTTCAGTCGGCTCGCAAGGCCCAGCGAGGCGCCCTGGGAGGCCCGGAAGGACCACCGAAACTTTTCCAAGGGCGTCAATGGCCGCCGAGACGTCCGGAAGGGCGTCTGGGGCGTCCTTTGGGGGGGGGGGGGGGGGGGGGCGTCCCTGGGGGTCCGGTGCAGGGGTCACCGGTTCGAACCCCTCCCCTGCCCAGAAAACCAGGGGGGGTCACTAGCGGTTCGAACCCCTCCCCCAACCCCTCCCCCCACCCTTCTCCAGAAAACCGAGGGGGGGTCACTACCGGTGCGAATTCCTCCCCCACCCTCCAGAAAACCGGGGGGGGTCACTACTGGTTCGAACCCCTCCCCCCCCCCCACGCTCACCGCCGGCAAACGACTCCTGGGTCCTCCCTACCACCGTCCGCGCCACATCCCCCGCTGCTGTCCCCAGCGCCACTGTCCTCACCACCACTGTCCCCACTGTTCCCACCACCGTCCCCACTGTCCCCACCAGTGCCCCCACCACTATCGCATTGTCCCCACTGCCCCCACCACTGTTCGCGGCTCCCTGCGTGGCTGCGAAGTGCGCAACCGTCGCCACTTTTGAAGGCTATTGGGAGATCGCGCGGAGTGGAGTGGTACGCAGATTCAGTTGGGACCTCGCGGCTCCCTGGGGGGCTGCGAAACGCGCAACCGTGACCACTGTCTTGGGTTCTTTGGAGGTCGCGCGGAGTGGAATTGTACAGGGATCCAGTTGGGACCTCGTGGCGCTGTCATGTCACGCAGCGCTCGGCGCTGTCGCGTCGCAGCTTGCAAGGAGCCGCTGCGCCACGCGTCGCGTGGCGTTGCTCTTGTCCGTGTGGCTTCCCATCCTCCGCTGCATCTGGCCCGCCATGCCGCCCCGCGCGCTTGCTTCGCTCAGCGCGACGCGCTGTTCTGTTACACAGCGAGCGAATGGCGCTGTTCTTTCCCGCGTATGTAGCGTTCGGCGCTGTTGCTGTCGCCGAGCACGCATGTCCCTCTTTGACACCCCTCTGTATGTTTCTGTATCCGTCTACTTCGTGCGTATTCCTTCATGCGTTATTGCATACTTCTGGGAGTTCATGCGCACTGCGCGTCCTTCAACATGTTTGTTCACAGTGAACGGATATACGCATCTATATATATGTGTGTATGTGTGTATGCATGCATACGTGAATACAAACATATGTATCTATGTATTCGCCATGCGTTCAGGAAGGGTTGGGTACGTCACTGGGTAATGTATATACACATATATACACCTTTCTATATATATATACACATATGTATATATACATATATATAACTATATATATATATGTATATGGACCGTCAGGAAACGACCCAGGGTGAAACACCTGCCCTCCGAGGTCCACGCCTTGACTGGGACCGCAGCCGGGCTCGAGCTCCTCGGCCCCGTCGGCCCCCGGCGATGGCTCGGCCGCGCTCGGGCGCGTCCTTGCGGGAGGAGCAGCCGGCCTGGGCTGGCTTCCGCGCCCTGAAGCAGCTGGTCGCGCAGCAGCGCCGGGAGTGCGAGCTGCGGCAGGACTACCAGGCAGGGCCGCCTGCGATCCAAGTCGGCCCGCCAGCCAGAGCCACGACTTCGATTTCCCATCCGAGGCGGGGATAGGTCCCCAGACCCCCGACGTCATGACTTCGTCATGACGTCGACCCCCAAAAGTATTCGACCTGTTCCCCAGGACCGGTTCTTCAGCCTGGGTCGTTTTTTGACGGTCCCGAGGCCCGGTGAGGGCCCCCAGGGGCCGAAAATAGCGAAGACCCTCCTGTTGCGATTTCTTCCTTACTCGAGAAGGTCGAGGAGGAGGAGGAGGAGGAGGAGGAGGAGGAGGAGGAGGAGGAGGAGGAGGAGGAGGGGGAGGAGGAGAGGAGGGGGAGGAGGAGGAGGAGGAGGAGGAGGGAGGAGAGGAGGAGGAGGAGGAGAGAGACGAAGAGGAGGAGGAGGAGGAAGGAGGAGGAGGAGGAGGAGGAGGAGGACCAGGAGGAGGAGGAGGAGGAGGAGGAGGAGGAGGAGGAGGAGGGGATCGCGGGGACTTCGATTTCCCATCCGAGGCGGGGGTGCAGTCGGGGCCCTGAAGAAGGAACGCTTTTCGTTGGGGTGGGGCTCCGCGTTCCTTAAGTGTTTCACAGCTTGCCTCAGGCTTTCCTTATGTTTTCGACCGGAAATCGAAGGTTAACTTATGGAAAAGGGGCCTCGTTCCTTATTTAGGGTTCCTTAGGTCAACGCCCCGACTGTAGGTCCGCTGGCACCGATACCAGGGCCAGCCGGGCAGCCCCGGGCGCGGCGACGCGATCCCGCCGCGATTCGGAGCGGTGCCTTGGCGATATCCGAGCCGCTGCCGACCCGGCCCGATCGGTCGCGCCATTATCCGGCCGCCCGGGCCGTGCCAGGGCGCCGCGGTCGCGCAGGCGCGCCTCGAGGAGCTTGGGGCGGAGGAGGAGCTCTGGAGGCGCGGGTCGGCCGAGCGGGGGGGGGGGTCAGGGAGCGGAGGAGAGGGACGGCAGCTGCGGTGCGCCCAGGCCCCCGACGGCCTGACCTTGTCATGGCGTCGATCTCCCGAGGTCTGAACCTCTTCCCCAGGACCGGTGTTTCATCCCGCGCCGTTTTGTTGACGGTCCCGAGGCCGGGCAAGGGCCCCCGGAGGCCGAAGATGGCGAGGGACTTCCCGTCGTGATTTGTGTCATTGCCCGAGGAAGTCGGGGGGGAGCGGGAGAGGGACGGCAGCTGCTGTGCCTGCAGCTGGCTCTGGCCTCGCCGCTGGGCGCAGTCCCTCGATCTACGCCGTGGCGCCCCCCTTTCGGCGACTGCAAAGGGTGCGGTTACGCCAGGGTGTGGTTTGCGATCGGCGCCGTGGGGGCCTGGAGGGCACGACGTTGTCCTCGTCGGGCCTCCTCCGGGCGCGGCGGAGAACTCCATCGAGGCACCCGCCCGACCCCAATGGTGCCCTTCAGGGTGCCGATTGTAAACTACACCCTTTGCAAACCGCACCCTTTGAAGTCGCCGACCCTTGCGCCGGGAGGCGCAGAGAAATCTCCAGCCGCGAGAGCGCTGAGCCGCTGACCTCCCCTTCGTGCGGCGGCGAGCCCGGGGGGGTGAAGCGAGGAGGGGCGGGGCTTCTCGGAAGGCTCGGAAGTGGCCCTCTGGGCATCGACGAGCGCGTTGCACTGCTCGCAAAGTAGCTGCTCGCAAATGGCCTGGATCCCCCGCGGGGGATCTGCGATAGATTATTCCATTTTTCGGTCGCGGCCGCGAGCGAAGAGGCAGGCGGCGCAAATTCCGGGGCGCGAGCGAGGCTAATTAGCTACAACAGGCACAGGCCGGCCGGCCCACTCACAAAGCAGCCGCGAAGCTGAAGGGGAGCTGACGGCGGGGGGCATCCTGAGCGATAGATGATTCCAAAGCAGACAGGTGTTTGTTTTCGGACGTTTGCGAGTAGGCACTTTGCGAGTAGTGGAACGCGCTCGGCGAGGGAAGGTTCCTGCGCCTTCCCCGAAGACACAAGGCACTTCTGAGAAGGCGCGCGGGCTTCTGAGAAAAGTCCCGCCGCGTTCTGAGGAGGCCTTCTCCTTCGCATCTCGCCCCCCCCCCCAGACCCCCGACGGCATGATTTCTTCATGACGTCGACCCCAGAAGTCTCGGCCCAATCCCTGGGACCAGTTTTCCGTCCCGAGCCGTTTCTTGAGACGGGCCCGAGGCCCGGCAGGGGCCCCCAAAGGCTGGAAACAGCGCAGACCCTCCCGTCGCGATTTCTTCCTTACTCGAGGAGGAGGAGGAGGAGGTGGAGGAGGAGGACGAGGAGGAGGAGGACGTGGAGGAGGACGTGGAGGACGAGCGAAGACCCTCCCGTCATGCGTTTTGCTTCTGCTCGAGGGGGTCTGGGCCCCTCGCGCGCCGCCGAGCTCTTCGCTGTATAGCCTCCCCCCGTTGCGTCCGGCCCGCGAGGCGCGAGCAGCTCGAGGCGGAGGCGGAGCTGCGGACGGCCGCGGCGCGCAGCCGCGCGGAGAGCCAGCAGGAGCCTCTCAGAGCGTGAATTACCTACCCCGCTTTCACTTCCAGGCAAAACCAAGTCATACCATGTGCCTCCTCGTCAAGCGGCCTGACCAGTACAGGCCGTAGTTTGGCATCGCTTGATATCTCTTGGAAGCGAGGGTGGTCAAGAGCGAGGTAGGTTTGTTTGCCCCCTAGGAGCGGGAGCGCCAGGAGCTCGACCAGCGATGGAGGGACAAGCTCAGGCCGGGGGCCCCCAAGCGGTGCGGTGACCGCACCGTGCCCGGAGTCGGCGGCGAGCGAGGGGGGAAGCGAGGAGGAGGAGGCCCTCTCAGAAGGCGGCTGGGGCTTCTCAAAAGGCCTCTGTGGCCTCCTGAGAGGTTTCTTGTGTGCCTTCGGGGCAGGCTCAGAAACCTTCTTAGAAGGCCTGGGGACTTCCGAGCCTTCTGAGAAGGCCCGTCCCTTCTCATTTCCCCCGGGGCTCGAGGTTTTTCATCATTTTCGGCCTCTGGGGGCCCTTACCTGGCCTCGGGACTGTCAAAAAACAACTCGGGACAAAAAACCGGCCCTGGGGAGTGGGTCCAGACCTCTGGGGATGAAAAAATAATGACGTCGGGGGTCTGGGCAAGCGGTGCGGTGACCACACCGTGCCCTGAGATCCAGGCGCTGCATTCCCGGACCATCCCAGATCGATCCGGGTTCCAAAATTCAAGCGAGAGACGGGGTCGAGGGCTCCGTGCTGCAGTTTTTCTGAGCGTCGGATCTCAGGCTTGTGGCGAGAGTCAGTAAAACGTTTCGGGGTCACCGCACGGTGTTTGGGCCCTGGTTGTTCCCCGAGGGCGTCTCTCAGCGGCACCGTGACGGGTACCCAAAGTAGTGAGCGTTTTTTTTTTAATTCGGCGTTTCGACATTGGGCGGAGGGGGGGGGAGGGAAGGGGTCTGGCTCCGGACCTCTGCTTTGTGCGACTGTTTGCGACAGTGCGTCCTATGGGGGAGGGACTCCGCGTGCTCGAAACAGTCTCCACGTCCTGTCTGTCTGTCTGTCTGTCTGTCTGTCTGTCTGTCTGTCTGTCTGTCTGTCAGTCTGTCTGTCTGTCTGTCTGTCTGTCTGTCTGTCTGTCTGTCTGTCTGTGTGTGTGTCTGTGTGTATACGTGTGTCTGTGTGTGTTGTGTGTGTGTGTTGTGTGTGTTGTGTGTGTGCGTGTGTGTGTAGTCCGCTCATATCATCATTACATCCATATAGACTGCTGTCGTCTCGGATCAGGTATATAGGTACAGCGCCGCCTGCCCGCGGCGCATGGGAAAAGAGATCGCTACCCTCTTCCTTACCTTTCTCTACTTACGGCAATCCTTGTAGGTTCGACTTTTCGCAGGGGGAGGGGGGTGCGAGGGCCCGCGCCGATCAGCAAAACAGTGAGTAAAAAGCCAATCGCGTGCCCGTCAGCGGAGCCCCCGCGAGAAAGGGGTCTGGAGCATCGGGCGGCTGGAGCCTCCCGGCGTCAGGATTTTGTCCTACCGTCGACCCCCAGGGGTCTAGGCCTCCTAGATTTAAGTCGGGCCTGTCCCTCTACATACAGGGGGAAGATTGAAAGATAGTCAAAGAATAGTGCGTGTACGAATGTATAACAATTTTTGTCTATGTTTGAGTATGTGTTGGGCACTTTTCAGTTTTCGTACGAAACCCGCTTGTATGGGGACATGCCCGACCTAAGTCTAGGCCTCCTAGATGGGGTCCGAGTTCATGGGGTCGGAGGATCGGTCCGCATCGCCGATGCGTCGACGATGCATCGATGCGGTTCGATGTGGAGACCGTAGTTCCCCACGACGGCGTCACCGATGCATTGCCGACGTCACCGACGCATCACCGACGCATCGCCGATACACTGGCGATGCATTGGCGATGCTGCGCGTTTATTCGACCCCATCTATTCGGACCCCATTTAGGAGGTCTCCAAGAGGTCTCGACCCATCCCCCGGGACCTGTTTCTCGTCCCGCGTTGTTTGTTTGACGGCCCCGAGGCCCGGCAGGGGTCCCCCATGGAGGCCGAGAAGATGGCGAAAGCCTTCCCGCCGTGTTGCTTTTTTATGACTCGGGGCGGAGGGGGTCATGGGAGCCGTGCGGTGGCGGACCGCGCGGCGAGGTCGCTCGGGAGCTCGAGGTCCCCACCCGTCACGTCACGGTAAAGTCAGGCAGGAACATCCAAAAATTGAAGAAAAAAATCCGGGGACTCTTTTTCTATAGCTGTTTTGTACTATTGTTGAAATTGGTTTGGGATTCGGCTTTCTTTCGTCAAAAATCCCCCTGTAGGAGGACAAGCCCGACCTGTCGCGAGGTCGCTCGGGAGCTCGAGGTCCCCCCACGGGCGGCCACCTCACGGCTTTGGTGCCCCCCGGCCAGGTCGTTCGACGCCCGCGCGCGGCGCAAGCAGGACGCCCTCGCGGCGCGGCAGGGGGTGGAGCGGGAGGCGCGGCTGGCGACCACGCGCAGGGTCCTGCAGGCCCTCGAGGAAGAACCAGGGGGCGAAGAGCAGTACTACTCCAAATCCCTTGTTCATCGACCCCCCTCTGAAAAACCGGACCCCCCTCCAGAAGCGACCTGACATTCCGGACCCCCTCTTCGACGGGGCGCCTTAATAAACCAGACCCCCTAAGCTCCAATCCAAAGGAAGCGCCCTAATAAACCAGACCCCCTCAGTGAATTACAAAAAAGGCGCTTTAAAAAGCCGGACCCGGGGGACGATGAAGAAGGGATTTGGAGTATAACATATTTTTTCCGTCGTCGTGGACGCGTGCCCCCCCGGGCGGCTGAAAGTTTATACTTCTGCGTGGCACCGTTGGGGTACATTTTTTTTTCAGCCGCCGGGGGGACAGGCGTCCGCGACGGCGGAACAGTTTATGTTATACCGTTCTTCGCCAGCTGAAAGAAAGTCTCCCTCTCTCTCTCTCTCTCTCTCTCTCTCTCTCTCTCTCTCTTGGGCACTATTGGGGGCCATTCTGGGGCCTCAGGGGGTCATCGAAAGCAAAGGGCGAGAAGGCAAATCACATCGATGTTCTGCAGGTCTAGAAGGCTTCTGGCGGCTTCCCTGGCAGGCTCCGTGGCTACTTGGACCCGTCTTGGGCCAGTCTTGAGGCGTTTGGGAGCATGTTGGAAGCCATCTTGAGCTATCGGAATCACCGCCGCCCCCTGCCTTTTGGAATCGCCCACGCAAGAGCTCTGCCGAGCTATCGGACCATGTGTTGCCCGAGCCGTTGTGAGATCGGGGAATCCTTGGGGGAGGATGGCAGGGAAAGGAGGGGGCATCTTGGGAGCCTCTGGGGGCACTCTTGGGGCCTCCTGGGAGCTTCCTGGGGCTTCTTGGAGGCATCTTGGGGGCCTCCTTGGGCCTCTCGGGGACCTTGGGGGGCTTCTCGGGGGCCTCTTTGGCAGTCCTGGGGCATTCCTGGCCCGTCTGACGCCGTCGGAGGCCGTCTTGGGGGCTTCTCGGGACCGACTTGGGGCCCTCTTGGCGTGCTCCCGGGCCGTCTTGGGGGCCATCTGTTTGAGGCCTTTTCGGCGATCTTGGGACGATCTTTGGGGGCTCTTGGGCTGTCTCAGGCCATCGGAAGGCCGAAAAGAAAAAATGCCAAAATCCTTGAAACGCCGATGGAAACTCAATGATGTGGGCCTTTTCGGGCCTTCCTGGAGGACCTCCTGGACGCCTCTTGGGCCTTCCTCTTGGGGGCTCCTTTGGCCGTCTTGGGCCACTGGGCTCCTGGCCCGCCTGACGCCGTCACAAGCCGTCTTGGGGGCCTCTCTGGGCCGACTTAGGGCCCTCTTGGCGTACTCCAGGGCAGTCTTGGCGGCCATCTTGGGCGCCTTGGAGGCCTCTTGAGGCTCATTGGGGCCGTCTTGGGGGCCTCTTGGGCCTTTCTGGGACCATCCTGGAGGCCTCTTTGGCGATCCTGGGGCGATCTTTGGGGGCTGTTGGGGCGTCTCGGGCCGTGGGAAGGCCGAAAAGATGCAAATGCCCAAATCCGTTTTTTTAATCCATAATGTTGGCCTCCTCGGGCCTTCCTGGAGGCCCTTTTGGGGGCTAATTGGGCCTTCTTGGAAACCTCTTGGGGGCGCCCTCCCCCCAGCAGGGCAGCTAACAAAGCGAACGACGACCGCGGCGGCCCGAGAGTTTCGTCATCTCGTGTCGCCGGGAGAGTACCCGCCACCTCGGAGTCGCGCCACGGGATCTCGAGGAGCAGGGGCGCGCCCCCGCGACAGCGGATGTGAAGAGATCCTGGCTGCGCACCAAAGGGCGCCGCCCAGGAGGCCCAGCGCGCGCGCCCAGGAGGCCCGCGCGGGCCTCCGCAGGTGGATGTGCCCGTGCTCTGCTGCTGGCTCGCCTTGCGACTTTCTGCATCGCACGGCGGCCGAGGATGCGCAGTCCGCGTGGGGCTATATACAGTCGGGGCGCTGAACAAGGAACCCGTTTCGTTGGGGGGGGGCTCCGTGTTCCTTAATTGTTTCGCAGCTTGCCTCAGGTTTTCCTTCAGCTTTCGATGGGAAGTCGAAGGTCAACTTATGAAGAAAGGGGCCTCGTTCCTTATTTAGGGCTCCTTAGGTCAACGCCCCGACGGTATACTGTGTTTGCACCGGGAAAAAGATCTACAGCCAAGACCCCACGCAAGGACGCGCGGATGTCCTCAGGGTGCCCCTTGCGTCCCTGCCTCTGCGGCCCGTCCTCCGCGGTTTCCACTGGCCGGCCCTTCAGGGCGTTGGCGGTCCGCCGCCCAAGAAGTGCCGACTTCGGCGTCCAAGGCCCATGCGTCCTTACCGCCCGTCCTCATCGTAGGCTTCGACTGCATGCTGGTGCAGCCTGTGCCCGCCTCTGCCGTACAGGCGCGGCAGGACAATCGGGCCGCGAAGCTGGACCAGAGAGCGCTGAGCAAGTTCCGGGAAGCGGCGCGGATGGAGCAGGCCAAGGCCGCCCAAATCCCAGACGCTGTCGAGCCATGCAAGAGAGCACGACGGACGGTTGTCGTTGTGGCCAGCCTTCCCCAACGGCGCAGAGAAGACCTCTCAGAAGGCGGGGGGGGCTTCTGAGAAGTTCCGCCGCCTGCTGAGAAGGCCTTCTCCCTCTCGTGTCCCCCCTCGCTCGCCACCGAGCAAAGAAACCGAGACGGAGGTTTTCATCGGTTTCAGCCTCCGGGGGCCCTTACCGGGCCTTGGGACCGTCAAAAACGACTTGGGATGAAACACCAGACCTGGGGAATGGGCCGAGAGTTTCGGGGGTCGACGTTATGAAGAAGTCATGACGTCGGGGGTCGTGGATGGGGTTGAAGCAGATGACGGAGGTCTAGAGGTTGGCACCAATACCGATATTTTCAGCGGGCGAAGAATGGTATGAAGTAAACTTTTCCGCCGTCGGGGACGCCTGCTCCCCGGGCGGCTGGAAAGTTTATACCCTTTCTTTGGCACCGTAGGAGTGCAAGCTTTGCAGCCGGCAAGGAGGCAGGCGTCCCCATTCTTCGGAACAGTTGATTCTATACCCTCTCGTCACCCCCTAGAATATCGGCGGTTGCCTCAACCGAGGAAGGATGATCCGGATCTTGGCGATGGTGGTCATCTTCGGGCATCCGAGGTGGCCGTAAAATGTTGCAATCGGCACCAAAATCTATCATAATTGCCCCCCAGCGGGGGCAACCCAGTGGGTTGGTGTTGGGGCCAATTTCCAGGCCTCCCAAGGTAGGATCGGTGGATCACACCGCATCGCCGTGGCATCGGCGATGTGGCTCGATGAGAAGCCCGAATATGTCCACACCGACGTCGCCGGTGCATCGCCGATGCATCCCTATAGAGATCCGACGGCTCGATGTTTCAGTGCGGGTTGCCCGGAAGGCCAGGCCCCTGCCCCAGGGTTGGCGTTTCACCCCGAGTGGCTCTTGGACAGTCCTGGGTCCCAGCGAGGGCCCCAAGACCCCGAAAACAGCGAATACTCCTCCTCCTCCTCCTCCTCCTCCTCCTCCTCCTCCTCCTCCTCCTCCTCCTCCTCCTCCTCCTCCTCCTCCTCCCCCTCCTCCCCCTCCCCACTCCCCCTTCTCCTCCTCCTCCTCCTCCTCCTCCTCCTCCTCCTCCTCCTCCTCCTCCTCATCCTCGTCACCCTCCTCCTCCTCCTCCTCCTCCTCCTCCTCCTCATCCTCGCCCTCCTCCGTGTAGAATTGTCCTATATTATATGTTGAGGTCTGGGCCAGCACGGGCGCGGAAGCCGGCGCAAGTGGATCGAGGGGTGGCTCCGCTGGCGGAAGCCGGCGGAGGGCGGCGGAAAGGAGCGGTGCGCCCCCAGTAGATGACCACACGTTTGGTCAGAGCCCCGAATCATCAGGGGTAACTCGGGTCAGGGCTAACTCGGGTTCCTTCTTCGGGAATCCAAACCCGCGTTACCCCGGACCCGAGTTACCCCGGACAACTCGGGCGCCCAGTTTGGGCCCTGGGCTTCCGAAGCCGACCACGTGGAGCCCGAGCGTGGCCGCGCTGCTGCCGCGCCGATGCCTCGGCAGAGCGGCGCGGTCCACCGCCCCGCCTGCGCCGGCGTCGGGCCACGGCCAGGCCGAGGCAGAAGACCGAGGTCGCTTCGGGTAGGGCATCCGCGTGTTCTTCGCGTCTCTGCGGGGCGCTCCTGTGCATCCTGCCTGGGAGGGGGGGGTACAGTCGGGGCCCTGGAGAAGGAACCCTTTTCGTTGGGGAGGGGCTCGGTGTTCCTTAGGTGTTTCACAGCTTGCCTCAGGTTTTCTTATGTCTTCGACGGGACCTCGAAGTTTGACTTATGGAAAATAGGGGCCTCGTTCCTCATTTAGGGTTCCTTAGGTCAACGCCCCGACTGTACTCTCCAATGGTTCTTCAGCTCGGCCGGCGGAGGGCCTCGTGGTTCTGTGGAGGCTGCGCTGCTGTCCTTTTCGGCGGCGATGGCGAGGGGGGGGAAGGGAGAAGGAGAAGGCCTTCCCAGAAGGTTCGGACGTCCCCCGGCCATCTGAGAAGTTTCCCACGCCTTCTCTTAAGTCGGGCCTGTCCCTCTACAGGGGGAATATTCAAAAATGGGAAAAAATAGTCTGGGTACGATGTTTTGACTATGTGTGGTAATTGTTCCTGCATGTTTTGACTATTTTGCATTTTTCGTCCCAAATCCGCCTGTAGTGGGACATGCCCGACCTAAGCCTCCCCCGAAGACCGAGAAAACGCCCGAAAGGGCGCGAGGGCTTCAGAGCAGCCCCGCCGCCTTCTGAGAAGGCCCTCTCCGTCTCGCTTCCCCCCCCATCCAGGCCTCGGAACAAAATAGTGAACATTCATGCCATATCTGTGAACGCCTCCCCCTCCCCCCAATGTTGAAAGTTGGCGGTGGGTCTGATGAGTTGCACCTCGACCGCAGTCTCCCCCCGCCCGTGCCAACTTTGAGTTTAGGGGGCAGCGGGGGTGTTCACTAATGGCTTCCCCCCCCATCAGACCCCCGACGCGTCTCTTGAAAATGGGAGCGGTCAAAAAAGGCGACCAGAAACGGCCACAGAAACGGCTCCAGGATTGGAGCCGGAGCCGGAACCGGTAAAAGCACGGCGACGAACAGGTATCAAAACGGCGTCGGAACGGGCAAGAAGACGACACAACGGAACCGGTGAAGAAACGGCCCTGCCGTTTCCGGGCCCTTTCAGCACCCAGACCTCCGACGCTTGATCTGTTCACAGAACGTCCACCCCAGAAGGCTCGACCCAGTCCCCGGGACCAGTTTTTTGTCCCGAGGCGTTCTTTGACGGGCCCGAGGCCCGCCGTGGGGGCTCCCGGAGGCCGAAACAATGGCGAAGGCTTTCGCGTCGTGATTTTGCTGCGTGGCTCGAGGAGGGCTGGGCCCGCTCGTCGCCGAGTCCTATAGGTCGGGCCGTATTTTGTGGCGTCGGCCCCCAGGGAGCTCCACGTTTTCCTTGGGTCGGGCCTGTCCTGGCGGACTTTAGAGGAAAAGATTAGATAGCCCAGCAAAATTTCAAAATATTCAAGCAATTACCTATACGACCATCCTTCGGGTGATAAGGAGGTTCGGGGGGGAGCAACCAACGTCTCACTCGATCTTACTATCGATCTCACTATCGGTCTCGCTCGATCGATCTCACTCGATCGATCTCACAATCGATATCACTCGATCTATTTCATTCGTTCGATCTCACAATCGCAATGACTATCGATCTCACCATCGATCTCACTATCGATCTCACAATCTATCTCACACTCGGTCTCACTATCGATATCACTATCGAAATCACAATCACCGTCATCATCATCATCATCATCGACATCATCATCATCATCAACGTCATCAATATCATCATCATCGGGACACCGGCATCATCATCACTTCATCACCATCAACATCAGCATCAACATCACCATCACCAGGACACCATCATCGTCACCATCATCATCAAGATCATCATCATTGGGATACCATCATCATCATCATCGGAACACCACCATCATCATCAGCATCGCATCATCATCATGTACAGCATCGCCAACATCATCATCATCGGGACACCACGATCATCATCAGCAACATCGTCATCATCAACACCGTCATCATCGTCACACTGTCATCATACTTACTATCATCAGCACCATCATCATCATCTGGACACCATCATCATCCACATCATCATCGGGCTACCATCATCAAAAGCACCACCACTTCATGTTCATCCTCTTCATCAACATCATCATCACCATCGAACACCATCATCGTCATCACCATCATCAACATCATCATCTTCATCGGGACACCATCATCACCATCACCATCACCATCATCAACAGCATTATCATCAACCTTGTCATCATCATCATTTTCATCGGGACACCATCATCATCTACATCATCTCATCATATCATCACCATCAGCATAGTCAGGATCAACAACATCATCACCACGGGACACCATCATCACCATTAGCAACATCAGCATTATCAACATCATCATCATCGGGACACCTTCATCATCACCACCATGGCCATCACCATCATCAACTTCATCATCACCATCGGGACACCATCATCTTCATCATCAGTGTCAACATCATCATCGTCAGGACACCATCATCATCGAAACAGCACCACCATCATCATCATCTCATCATCGTCATCATGAACAGCATCGTCAACATCATCATCATCATCATCATCATCATCATCATCATCATCATCATCATCGGGACACCAGCATCATCATCATTTCATCCTCTCATCATCATCATCATCATCCGCATCATCATCGGGACACCATCAGCATCGTCACCATCATCATCACCATCATCATCATCAACGGGACACCATCTTCACCATCAACATCAGCATCTTCATTATCATCGGGCCACCACCATCAAAATCATCATCATCACCTCATCATCATTCTCATCATCAACAGCACCATCATCGGGGCACCATCATCGTCATCATCATCAACATCATCATCATCATTGGGACACCACCATCATCATCATCACCATCACCAACAGCATCATCATCAACAGCATCAGCATCATTGGGACACCATCATCATCGTCATCTTCATCACCATCGTTTCATCATCTCATCATCATCAACATCATCATCATGAACATCCACATCATCGTCATCACCATCGGGACACCATCATCATCATCATCAGCAACATCAGCATCATCAACATCATCATCATAGGGACACCATAATCATCACCACCATGGCCATCATCATTATCATCATCATCATTATCATCATCATCATCATCATCAACATTGTCATCATCACCAGCATCGGGGCACCGACGGGACACCGGCGGGACACCGTCGGGACACCGCGCGCCCCCGGTTGCCGGAAGGGAGACTTTTGGTCCGGCCGCGCCTCAGCCAGAGGCGGGGCATTTCTCGCCCGCCCACGCAGCTTCGCCTCGCCCGCACGCACGGCACCCAGAAACACAAAACCGA